ACTTTCCCTGTCTGTGCCCCGCGACCCTGGGACGTGGGGGGCCGTTTGCGCCCCCTTGTCCTACAGATCCTCAGGTCCAGAGGAGCCAGTGGCTGGTCCCGGGGAGCCGCTGTTACCGGAAGCCCGAGGCCTTTTCCTGCGTCTGCCCGCACGCTGCCCGCACGCACTGGCCCAAAGGAGCGTGCGGCAGGGTTTGCAGACCGGACATTTTAACACCAGTTGAATGTGCAATGAGCCCACGCGGAGGTGGAGGGCGTATGCTCTGAGAAACCCGGCTCCCTGATGGCACCTGGTTACGGATCATAGAGGGACAGCCACAGGGCACCGGGTTCGGGGTGGGGAGGTGCTGGGAGCTCACTGCTTGGAGGGGAGAGGAGGGTAAGGAACCGTTTCTTCAGGTCTGAGGTCTGTTCCAGCATCTGTCTGTCCTCTCTCTCAGGAAAGTAGCCAGAGGGTGTCATTCCAGCTTAGGGCTCAGGAGCTGGAACATAATTTACATCAAAATGTTCTCTTTAGCCCCAGCCGGTGTGGTTCAGTGGTTGAGCATTGACCTATGAACAGGAGGTCACAGTTGGATTCCCAGTCAGGGCACAGGCCCAAGTTGCAGGATGGATCCCCAGTAGGGGATCTACAGGCGTCAGCCGATCCATGATTCTCTCTCATTGTTGATGTTTCTATCTCTCCCTCTCCCTTCCTCTCGTATATCTTTTAATGTTCTCTTAAGCCTGCAGAGGTCGGACCATGTGACCATTAGTCAGGCCCGGGCTATTGTCTTCTGCTGCCTCAGGGGTTGCTGATTAGGGGGGCGTAAAGGAGGGGGGGGCGGGTCTCTGAGGGATGTGTATATAGAGATTTCTGGAGTAGGATTTAAAACTAAGTTCAATTGAAGGCACAGAGACCTTCAGTTTCATGCTGGACTAGCCTGGTACATGTTTGGCTATGGGAGAGTTCAAGTTCACCCTCTGGTCTTCAGCCTGCCGTGCAAGCCCTGGCTCCATCCTGCCTCGTGGAGGGGACTTCAGACAAGTTACTTAACCTCCCTAGGCCTGCGTTTCCTCACCTGTAAAACGGGTGTGGTGCCTACTTCCTGTGGTTGTCTGTGGGGCTAAGTGAGCGTTTGCATAGTCGGCGAATCAGTACCTTCAGAGCACCCCCTGCTGTGTTTAGGGCTAAGTGGGCAGGGGTGTTTGGGGGAGCAATACCCAGAATAGAGAGGCGTATTTATACGGTGCACTCCAGTGCCACCGCCATCCCATCCGATCCCCGTCCTGCCATGGTCTCTGCGTCTTCTAACCGCCCCTCGGAGCGTGACTGCTGCCCCCTGTGCTGGTGACAGCATTCCACCTTTCATCACGGAGACTTTATCTTCCTTCCCTTCCTCTTCCAGAAAGATAATCGGTGCCCGCCTTCGTCGCCATGCTCTCCCTTGCACCCTGACCAGGGCCCGTAGAACCCCCTGCCTGTTGCCTGCAAGTCCGCTGGCTCAGACCCGAGATCCCACTGGCGGCGGCTTCTGTGGGTTTAGCATCTTGTGGTGACAGCGTCTAGCCAGCCAGGTGCTAGATGGGTTGCAGCACACACAGCTGAGCTCAGGGATCTCACACCAGTTCCGCGCCTCACCCACGCGCACGGGCCCTCCTGCCCCTCCCCCAGCCCCAGCGCGCTCACCACAGACAGGAAACCTGACCACAAGGGCCCTCAAGCCCCGGCAGCCCTGTGGCTCAGAGTGTCTGCTTGCCAAGGCCAGTGGCGACCTCCTTATGACGTCCCACCACATGTAAAGCCAAGGCCCACGTCCTCCCAGGCCCACGAGGCCCCCAGGCTCGGGCCACTGCCCTCCTCCGACCGCGACTCCTCGCCTGGCTCACCAGCTCTGAGCACGCACATCCTTGCTTTTCTGCAAACACATGCACACGCGCTCTGCCCAAAAGGTCTTCCCCAGATGTCTCCACGGCTCTGGCTCCACTCCCATCCCTGCTCAGGTGTCCGCTCCTCAGCCGCCTTCCCTGCCCAGCCTAACAGCGCAAACAACCCGGCCGGTGAGGCTCAGTGGTTGAGCGTCGACCTATGACCCAGGCGGTCACGGTTTGATTCCCGGTCAGGGCACAGGCCCGCGTTGCGGGATCGATCCCCAGGTGGGGGTGTGCAGGAGGCAGCCAATCAATGATTCTCTATCATCATTGATGTTTCTATCTCTCTTCCCTTTCCCTTCCTCTCTGTGACATGACTTCTTTAGAAGCTTCCTTACATTCTTCTCTCAAAAGATGCTCCTGCTTCCCCTGGCTTATTTCCTGTCCAGAACTGGAATCAGCCATTTCTCCAGGAGTCTTGCTTATGGTAGCCACCCGTCTCTCCCGGTCTAGCTCCCTCTTTCCGACAGGAGGACTGAGTGGTTGGTTGGTGAGGTTCGGAGCAGACACTCAGCTCCGTCCCCTTCTCCTGGGGAGCCGGCACACCTGCAGAGCATGGTCTGTCTGCTCTGCCTCCCAGGAAAGGGCCTCCCCACCTGCCCAGGAAGGTAGAGGGAGAGGGGAGGAGGAGGCCTGAGGGTGCAGAGCTGTTGGCGCGGTCTCCCTCGAGAGCAGAGCATTAACGAGCCATGTCCTCTGGGCTACATTATTGGTTTTAAATACCTGCCTGGCTCCTGCGTGGGTCTGTCCACTGGTTATGAATTTTTATCTACTGCTGCCCAACAACTCACCCGAAACTCAGGAGCTTGAATGAACTGTTAACTGTTGACTATTTTCGCGTTGGGCCCGTGGGTCGACCAGATGGTTCTTGTGCTCTGCATGTTGTCAGCCGGAATGCCGGCCGGCTGGAGAGCCCTCACGGCTTCCTTCCGCGGCTGCTGGTTGGTGCCGGCCACCAGCTGGGAGCTTCAGGGGGCTGTCCGCTCAGGGTGTGGGGGCCTTGGCTCCCCTCCACGTGTCTGTCTGGGCTTCCTCTCGGCTTGGTCACTGGGTTCCCAATAGGACTGTTCCACGAGCAGGTATCCTAAGAGGAAGGAAGCGGAAGCTAAGAGTCACCCTAACAATGGATCTTGGAAGCCCCCAATCTCAGAGCACAGATGAAACGGTGCACTTGCTGCTTAAAACAGCCTGGGAAGGCTTCCCACTGCACTTAAGATAAAACAGTGCCCAGAAGGGGCTCATCCTCCCGATGGGCACTCCTCCCCCGCCCACCCATCCCCCAATACTTCAGGCTCCATCCAGCCTCAGGTCACTGCCCTCAGGGGCTGACGGTCTGATGATAACTGGGATGGACACAATTAATCATGTCACACAAGCAAGCATATGTAAAGCTGGCCCTAGTGCTGTGAGCAAAGCACGCCCCCCGCCCCCCGCCGCCACACACACACACACACACACACACACACACACACGCCGCACCCGAGCCTGTGATGAGGGGATTGACTCATCAGAGAGCCCAGGGAAGGACTCCTGGGACCAGTCCCCCTTGAACTGGGATCCGATGGATGAGCAGGAGTGAGGGAAGTGAAAGGAAAGCAGGAGGGAGGAACAGCGTGTGCAAACACCCGAGGCAGCCGTGTAAGCTGGCCGGGTGGAGAGGTGGAGAGCGTAGGCAGGAGACAGGCCTAGCAAGGCTGTAACCCAAGGGGTTCAGACCCTGTTCTGGGCCTAAGGAGACGCTCCCGGAAGGCCTCGGGCCAGCGCTGGCCTGGCGACATGGGCCGCGAGGCGCCGACTGTGGCTTAGTCCTGACGTGGTAATAACTGCTCCGACCTCAGAGCAGCTGCAGCTCCCGCAAGGGAGAGAGAGGCCGGAGAGAGTGTGGGGAGACCCCACTGCCCCCGAGGGAGAGAGGACGGCGGCGTGGACTGGCGACCGGGGAGAGGAGAGGCCGAGCAGTTGGCAAATGTACTAAAACTTGTGTGCGGCCGGAGCACATCTGCATTCCTGTTTCTTACTCTAAAGCCCTCGATGTCATTGACGAGGAAGCCGGGGAGACACGCCATCCTACGGACTGCCGGCCGGGACACGTTGGGTCTGTTTATCAGATTGGCCGGTGTATTAAGCAACATTACGTGTGAAAGTCCGTCTGCTTTTTGTTTGTTTAATATATTTTTTATTATTTCAGAGAGGAAGGGAGAGAGAGAGAGAGAGAAACATCAGTGATGAGAGAGAATCATGGATCGGCTGCCTCCTGCACGCCCCCACATTGGGGATGGAGCCCGACACCCGGGCCTGTGCCCTGACCGGGAATCGAACCCTGACCTCCTGGTTCATAGGTCAATGCTCAACCACTGAGCCATGCCGGCCGGGCAGGTCTGTCCGCTGTGACAGCATCCGCAGGCCGGCAGGCCCCAAGCGCTAGGGGGCTGGTCACGGGGACATATTGCCGCCTCTCGCTCACTTTTGCGAAAGGGCAGAAAAGCGGGCTGGTTGCATATAAAGGGTTGTTGTCATGGCATCACACATGCCTGGATTCACATGCCTGTTCCTACTGCTGCCCTTACCAGCTCTGTAGAATGTTCCAGAACCTCTCTGTGCTCCTGTTGCCTCCTCGTTGTCATGGGAGTGGTAATAGTAGCCACCGCTGCTGGAGCTGGAGTTTTCGGAGGCCAGAGACACCCCTCTCCTGCCCTTCTGGCTTTCAGGACTAAGAAGCAAAATCAGGTGCCAGACAGGTAGAGACCGAAATGCCACCTCAGGCCACCAGGCTGGACCGGAGGATGTGGTTGAGGTGAAAAGGCTTCATGTAGCCGCGGACACAGAGCGACCGCAGACAGCGGTGAGGAACACGCCCTCGCCGGGGACAGGGGGTCCGGCCAGGCCCAGCGCCGAGCCTTCACGGGAAGTCACCTGTCGTCCTGGGGAAGTGAGTGGGAGGCCATGGGACCATGGGATCAGTCGGTGCAGGGACCAGGCCTCAGAAACCCGTCTCCCCCGTGGAAATAGGAGGAGGAGGAAGTGACTCCCTCTGAAACCGGACAGCCAGGGGGTCCGGGCTGCCTGTCACTACTGGAGCGAACAGGGTTGAATCACCTGAGCGTTGATTCTAATCCTGCTGGCAGCGTGGGGGCGCAGCAGGTCAGCCACAGACATCTGCTCTGCCCCCCATCGTCAGCTGCTGCTTCTATTGGGTAGAAGCACAAAGATTCCATGGGGGAGGGATGCCAAGTGGGCAGTTTACAGGTATTTGCGAGGCCTGCGGGTGTGCAAAGGGCTGGGGGTCTTCAAAGGGCTGGCGATTCTGGCTTCTGCAACAAGACTGTTCATCTTCCCATGGAAACCTGCATCTCCAGGGGAGCTTCCAGGCCCCAGGTGCGACTCCCTCCCAGCAGGTGAGAATGTGCCTTCTTTCATCGGAATAAAGACAGAGCCTGGTTAGTAGTTCTGACCATTATAGCTGGTCCCCCGCGTTCTCTTCCTGCCCCTGTCGCCTCCACACTGGCTCACGGGGTTGCTATGGAGATCAGACTCTGCAAAGCGGGCATCCCTGGCAGCGGCTGTCCTGGGCTGGGGAGGCTGGCCCCTGAGGGAAGTTGTGGTTGAGCGATTGCATGAAGCAAGGGAGTTTCTTAAAAGGGGATTTCTCTATTTCCCCTTCTCCCCTGGTTCCCTTTACTCAGGAAATCTTGAGAGTTTCCTAAAGGGAAATGCTGACCAGCTGTGAACTGGCAAGGCTTCGAAGCAGAGGAAAAACCCCGGCGTGTCTCGATGCGGGCGAATACAGTATCGAGGTCCCGCGCCCTTTCAGGGTGTATGCAGGCACTACCTGGTTGCTCGAGGGCGGGGTTCTGTTTGCGGTGGGGTGGTGGCTGCTGTGTGCTTTTCAAGGCAGCCTCCCCTCACCCCTGACAGTGAAGCAATTAGGAAGCGCAGGCAGGGAGCAAGCAGGTACCGCCCTGGGAGAGCCCCGGCCAATCACATGGCAACCGCAGCTCCATGGAATGCCAGGGCAAGGGGGAGGCAGGAAAGAGAGCCTGTCCACCCCGGGGGCACCCTGTCAGCACGGCCAGGCTCCCCACCTGCACCGAACCGCCTGAGCCAACCTCAGGTCATCCGCCCGAAGGGGGAGGCTGCCGGCTGTGTGGACGCCCTGGGAATGCCCCCGGGAGCAGGAAAGGGTTGGTCCTGGAAGCCAGCGGCTCTCTTCCCGCTGAGTCATCCCCAGGCGGGGCACCGGGACCACACCTGCCTGGGTTTCTGAGGCTGGTGGAAACCCCCAGCGCCGCATCCCTGAGCGGCCTGGCCTCGGGTAATCCCTCTCCCATTCCCCGCTGGCATTTCCAGAGGCAACACCTTTAGATCCCCGCCTGTCCCTCCAGGGGA